CAGTTAGTTGGGATATATCAGGCAGCAAGTGAACATTTTGTCCTCAAAGTTGATGTGTTAGAAGCAGGAAAAATGGGCAGTGTGAGGATTTGAGCGACTTTGATGAGGGCCAAATAGTGATGGCTAGATGACGATTTAGAGCATCTCCAAACTGCATCTTTTGTGTGGTGTTCCCAGTATGCAGTGGTCAGTACCACCAGGGTGCACAGGTGATCATAATGTTATGGCTGATCACTGTATATATATCATGTGATTGCACAGGTGACAGCAGAATAAACAGAATAAAACATATACAACAGTATAGTTTAAAGGAAATATAGACTATAAAAGTGGCCTATGAATATACAGTACAGGTATATAATATAATATTAATAATGTGCATGTAAAAAAATCATATGTGATTGTATTTTTCTATTCTATTTTAATATAATGTGTATTTTCTTTTCTGTTGTGTTGTTTCTTAAGCTGCTGTAACAAGTGAATTTCCCCAGTCTTGTCTTATCTTATCTTAAGTAGTTTAACATTTGAAAAACAAGTAATTTTTTCACCTTAATACGCCCCAGTTCGAACTGGAAGACATTGGGGCTGGTAGCCTTGGCAAACACTGCTGGGAAAAGCTTTGTACTAGGCTCCACCTGTGGAGAGGAGAGAGTGCTTAGCTAGTTACTAATTTCTAGCTAAAAACACAAGTCAAATAAAAGTTTTTGCAGTTAAAAATCAAGTTTAAATGCTTTTCACATGTATTCATGGTTTTCCTTTTTGTTAAAAGGAGAAAAAAAATATATTTTTCTGAAATGCTCATTTAGGCTCTAAACCTCTGAGGGGACTAGTAATTTGAAGCTGAACAGCTGGGACACAGAGACTATGTAAACAAACTTGCTCTGGTGAATGTAAAGTAAAAGCCAAGAACAGACAGGGGCTCCTGTCAAATTGCCAAAGAAGTAGTTCCTACATCCTTTCCTAAACACTTTTCTTGACCTAGATGGAAAACGTCATGAGGTCAAGGAAAGATGTGAAGGATCATTCATAAGGACTTAGGAAAAGACAACCTAGGAGCGGGACTGAGATAACCCGACTGCACTTTACTATGCTATGTAATTAGGTGATGTGGATGTTGATTATGTTTGTCTGCTGTGGTGAAACTACAGATTCTGAAGATGGTGTATTTTAGATGTAGGTTATATACACGTGGACAACCCAGTAAATAATGTGACTTCATTGCCAAGGTTGGAAGTGAAATAAAAAAAGGAATATAGGCTGCCAGTCATAACATGTTAGGCCCACAAATCTACTACTGTAAATGTCAAAATCTTCTACTGCATATTGCATATATTGTTTATACTAAATGCTGATCATATTGTACATGGTAAATGGTAAATGGACTTCCTACCACTCAAAGCACTTTTACACTACATACCACATTCACCCATTCACACACATTCACACAGTGATGGCAAAGTCCATCAAACAGAAACATACTCATTAATTCACATTTACACACCGATGCACATCAGAATTTAGAGAATTCAAACAGTTTGTTTTTTTTAGCAGTGAGTTTGAGGAATAAAGAGCACAATTAGCTGCACGTCATCATCAATCAGCCACCCCAAGGTACTATGTGTAATAGCTATCTACCCTGCAAACTGACATTAAATGGTACTGATCCTGATGTTGGGAAAGCAAGCAATGATGCAAAAAAAAGTCTATTTTTTAAAATGTAAGGAGTAGAAAGTCGGATATTTGTCGTGTTCAGCAATACAACGTGCAGGGCAAGGCTGGAAAGCTAATGTGGGTTGTACAAAGTCTGCTGTCTGACTATTAATGAGTGTGATGTTACTGATTAATTAATTGATTATTTTATTGGCTACAGAATAGAAATTCTCTGATTGAGCCAGCAGCATTATATTTGAAAGCATTTGAAACCAAAGAATATAAAATATAGATTTCTCCCTTTTGATTTTTTAATTTTTCTCAAAGATATGATTTACGGAGCAGATGTCAGCATATATGTCGTCCTACCATCTGTACAATGACAAAAAGAGTCAGAAAGGGAGAAGACGACAGAAACAGGAAAATTACTATTCAGGAACCTGTAACACTATATCAAATATTTACCTGGTAGTATGTGCTGAGTTCTTTGCCGTTGGCTGTGAAGGTCAGCAGTCCATTTGTTGTGTCAACCAGACAGCCAATTTCTAAGCCGTTGTTGTTCCTCCCCTGACCAGGACTACTGCTCTCTCCAGCCCACACCATGTAACAGTTACTGCGCTTTATACTGGAGAACACAGACACACCATGTAACAGTTACTACACTACAAAAAGGAATCTCAAGAAAATAGCCTTGTTTCTGGTAAATTAGTCTTATTTGCTGTTTAATTTGTAAAAAGGAAAATAATCTTGTCAAGCACGCTCCTTAAAAATATTGAGATGTAACCAGTAACAAGTTAGAACAATGGTTTGCATAAAATCCTAGCAGAGGATAATATTATTTTAACAGTAAGACCACTTGCACAACTTCTCAGTTTAAGAGAAAGTGGTCTTGTCCCAGTGTTGTAAATGAAGCAGCTGTTTAGTTTTTTTTAATAAAAAACACTAAAAATAAGAATGTTTCTGGTGTCTTCAATTAAAACAAAGTCACTTATTTTTCTTTGCTAATTATTAATCTTAGATTAAGGTACAAGTGAGTTGTTATTTGGAGGAGCAGCAGCTCTCTATGGGATTTGCTGGAGAATGAGAGGGAAGTGAGTTGGAGCGCTTATTAAACTGAGACAGCGGGGGTTTCGTACTGTGCTTCTGTTAATACACCTGCTGAATATCCATCCAACAAGATGGATGAACTGCTGCTCCTCAACATAACAAATATGGATACTTTTACAGATCTGCCGCCCAGTGCTTCACTGAAACATCATTATCACATCACATCCCGTACACCACACTCCACCTGCTGGGACTCTTTCGAGCGGGCCGTGTAACGGAGCTCTCTGGGAAGACGAGGACAGGCGGAATCTGCTTTTACATTAACGACGGTTGGTGTACAGATGTCACAGTGTTCAGCAAATCATGTAGACCTTATGCATAAACTGCAAACCAGTTTATTTACCGCAGTAGTTATTCCCACCTCAGGCCAGTGTTAATGAGGCATTACTTCACCTGGCTGACCAGATAACAAATGTGGAGAAAAAAACATCCAGACTCCCTGCTTATTGTTCCTGTGAACTTTAACAGAGCAAACCTCAGACATGAACTTCTAAAATATAGACAGCATATTATGTGTCCCACCAGGGATACTAACAGACTGGAACCACTGCTAAACCACAATAAAGGAAGGCTTACTGCTCTGTTCCCGTCAGAGTGGACAGGCCTGCAGAACATTACCAACTACAGGAGACCATCCCCCCACAGTGTGGTGAACCATCAACTGGCTGACAACCTGAATGTGTTTTACTGATTGGTTTTACTGTAGATTTGAAAAGACCACATTCACACCCCTCCCTGCTCCAATATCATACAGCTACCTACAGTGTGCTCTCCCCACTGCTCTTCTCCCTCTAAACAAATGACTGCACCTCAAGAGACCAGTCTGTCATATTCCTGAAGTTCGCAGATGACACAACAATCATCGGCTCATCGTGACTCAAACATCTACTGTACCTGTAAACTATTTATGATCTATTTTCCAATTGTTAAATTCAGTTTCTTTTTTAAAAACATAAATGCAATCATTCAAATACATCTACCTATGCTGTTAATACTGCATATACTGTACATACTGTATAATATGTACAGTACATGCTGTATGTGTTGTAAATATTGTATATACTGTAGTGTGTGTCAAATTTTTGTCTAGTTTTAAGGCCGATTACAGGCTTTAAGTGGGGCAGAGTGCGAGTTCAGGGGGAAGGGGGGTCTCCTGCTAAACTCTGCATCGAGGAGCTCCTCCTTCCCCCTGAACTCACACTCCACCCCACCCTCCATGGACTGAACTGTTTTTCTTCCCATATTCCCCACCACTGACCCCCTCTCCAATCTTGCACTATATAATTTACTACCAATCTGTAAATATCTTAACTTAATTGCTGTATATATATATATATAT